GATGAAGATGAAATTCCTACCAGGGAGAACCGTGCTAGGACGGAGTACGCCGGAAGTTACGTGAACGTGCCACATAAACATCATAATAAGCAAGGTGATAATGGTAATAACTTGATGATGAAGACTACTATGAAGTTAGGGTTAACTGATCTTATTGAGGATTTGGGGGCTGATGATGATGAAGGAATTGATGTGATCTTTGTACCTCGTACGGGAACTGAAAACTTGGTTATTAAGGATGTTAGGATTGAGTTTCTTTGTTAATTAATAGTACTAATATAATACAAGTATAATGTTTGTTTTGTATGAATGAACTTTTGATCTTCTTTGTTTATTAGATGATCTTTGTTGATAATTAATAATAAAAGGAGTTATTGGTCTACATTGTTTTGTGTTGTCATGTTAATGAAATATACTAATCTATAACATCTATACTTACTAATCTTTTATTATTGCGCTATGTCACCTATCCAACATTTTATGACGCTACCTCATCACTCAAACAATCTTAACCATTACACCACGTCACCCAAGAAACCAATATTATTTGGTATAAAAACATAAGGATAAGGAGATTCAAACCCTTAACCTTTTATAACAAAGATAACTATTTAACCATCTAAGCCCATTATCAATTATGTTATAAATATGTAAAAAAATTTATATAAATGCAAACCACAAGATTCAATTTTTTTTTAAAAAGAATACTCAAAGAATAACTCAATTTTGGTTTGACAACGACAATTTCACTTTTGAAAAAATCTTTAATAAAATTTATCGATTGCGCGTCTATAACAGCAGCAACCTAGGACAACGCCCAGGCTACTCACTAGTTCTCTCTTTAAAACAAAATGCATGTATTCGAAATCTTCAATTGTTTTTGTTTGCGTTAATATTAATAACATACCTTATATATATTTTTCTTAGAATTTGCTAAAATGCTTATCAAAATATAACACCTTTATTTACAGAATTGTAAATACATAAATTTAGAAATTATATCCTTTTCTTTAAAAAAGAAAAATTATTGCAAAGATTAATATTTTTTTTAGTGTTTAGAGAGCCACAAGCTAGGGCGGGTGATGAGAATCGATCTCAGGATCTCCTGAAATCGGGAGAGAAGCTCTAACCACTTGAGCTATCCCTCACTCTCACAAAACTACAATACATTAGAGTTATTAGACTTTAAATTAGTGGACCCTACACTCTAATTAATGGTAGAGTCTCTTTCATCAGGTTCACTAATCACTGTCACTAATATTTGGTCAAAGATGTTCTTTCCACCAACTCAAAGGACAAAGAGAATGGGCCTAATAGTATTTCAACATAATTTATAAAATATATATAGTCAATAGAAAGAAATACAGAGTACTTGTCATACAGTTATACACTTATACGGTTATACCCAAAGTTAAAAGCTACGAGTAACTAAGAGTGATCTACTACTACGTATTAATTACACATAACAACACTAATCGATGCATAATTTTGTGTAAGAGTAGCATTTGTACTATCAACCAACAATTACTTTTAGCTTTTTAACTACATAATCCAGTCCAAAATCCCAATAAAAAATTGAACTAACATTATTATTATTATTATCATCTCAAAAACAGATAAAGTCATACAACCTACAACAAATTAGTGGGAAGCCGAGATACAATCTGGGCCCCCACTCCTCTAGCTATAGCAAAGCCTACCCTAGTGAAGATATAAGTTGCAGCACGAGCCCCAATGTCTTGCGTCGACGAGAACCTCTGAACCCGTTTCAGCAACACGACAGCCTCCTTCTCCAATTCCCCAAGCGAAGAAAAGGAGAAGGGAATGAAACCATACCCCATCAGCCGACAACTAGCTTCATACTTCATCCGCTTCCGATGAGCCGCATCAGCCACAACCCGTCCAGGAACAAAGTGTACATTATTATTATTATTATTATTATTATTATTGATCATGATTTTTATTTTTATTATTATTTAAATTACAAATATGCCAACGAGAAAGAGAACATAATTTTGGTACTTTTCGAAAGAATATGCCAACGTATATAATAGTATAGGGTTCAATAATCAAACTTAATCAATTCTCGTAGATGTAGTTCGTATCATGTGCTACAAACTTCTGTGTAACTTGGTATCTTAAAATTTTACCGATAGCTAAAAACGGCAAGTAAATAAATTATAACTACCATCACCTTCAATGTCATTTAATACATTTTTTGTACAAATTAAAAAATAAATAATTGAGTATATTGTGATATATCTCATGTGTTGAGTATATATTTGTTTCATCACCCACCTACGACCGTACGTTAATTTTTCAGAAATAAAATGCATGCTAAATAACTCACTTAATCAAACATAAATAGAATCAATTAGAATCGAAATCTTATAACTAAGTAGAACGGTTATTTCACCAAATGCCCCTAAGTACTTCGATAATTCACCATATACCCATGAAACTTTCTAAATACACCATATACCCCTGAGTACTTTGATAATTCACCATATGCCCTTAATGACTAACGGAATTAAGTCCGTTAGTCATTAAGGGTTAAGTCTTTTTATTGGCTCCCTTTTAATTAGTTAATTAATTATTAAAAAAAAACTTTAAAAAAAAAAACAGCCACTATCCCCACCTACCAGCTATCACTCCCGCCCAACCCCAGACCCGCCGGCGCCGAGACCCACCTCCCTCCCGCCGCTCCTCTCCCTGCGATCGACGATCCTCCCCTTCCCCCTAAACCACCACGCAACCACCCGAAACCCACTTCCCTAAAAACCCGAAACCCCTAAAAAACCCCACCCTACCCCTGGAAAACCTCGATCGATCAGGATTTTTCAGGGGTGGGGGTGGGGTTTCAAGTTTTTTGGAGAGGGGGTTTCATGGGTGGTCGGGGTTGTTTTGAGGGTTAGAGAAAGGGAGAGTGTGGATCTAGGGTTTAGGGGATGGGAAACAACAGGGGTGGGAAGCTAGGAATGGCGTGCGGCGACGCTGGAAGCGGGGGAGGGGGCTTAGGTGGTCGGAAGATGTTCCGGCGCCAGAATTGGGGGAGGTGGCTGGGTTCTTGCGCAACAATGTGTGAGTTTGGGGGAAGGTGGGGGTCTTGGGTGTGGGTGGGGTTGACTGGGTGGTGGTCACCGGCAAGGGGGAGGCCTTGGCGCTTGGCAAGATGAGGTGGTCCGGGCGCCGGCGAGGGGATGGGGACTGGCTGGGGTGGGGGCAGTGGTGGCTAGGGTGTGGTTTTTTTTTTTCTTCTTATTTTTGTTAAGTTTTTTTTAATAATTAATTAAATAATTGAAAGGGAGCCAATTAAAAGATGCCACGTGGCATACCTAACCCTTAATGACTAACGGACTTAACTCCGTTAGTCATTAAGGGCATATGGTGAATTATTGACGTACTCAAGGGTATATGGTGTATTTAGAAAGTTTCATGGGTATATAGTGAATTATCGAAGTATTCAAGGGTATTTGGTGAACTAACCGTAAGTAGAAACACTTCAAAAGCATTCTAAATTTCTAACTAATATAACTACGTTACGAAAGTACTCCATACTAAATTAGATATAACTAAGAGGCTGTTTAGTTCACCTGATTTTAGCTGATCTGATCTGATCTGAACTTATTTTTTCTGATCTGATCTGATCTGAACTTATTTTTTCTGATTTGACCTTATTTTAATTATTTCAATATTCTACTTTTAATGTTAATCAATATTAATGTTTAATTATTATTGTTATTCTTATTATTATCATTATTATTATTATTATTATTATTATTATATTATTATTATTATTATATTATATTATATTGTATTATATTATTATTATATTATATTATATTATTACTATTATTATTACTATTATATTATATAATATTATTATTATTAAATAATAATAATATCATTATTGTTAATGGAATTGTTTCTAAAATTTCAAAAGGTGAGATTGTTTCTAGAAGATGGAGCAAAGGTGTGATTATTAGATTTCATTTTCCTTTTTTTTTATTTAAGCTTTTATATTTAACTTGTTTAGGGCGTTTAAGTGTTTTTTTATTCATTTATTCCTCTATTAAACCTTTTTTTATTCATGCGTGTATGGTTGTGTGGGAATGACACATTGACCCGTTTTAACCCGTCAAAACCCGAATTTAACCTGACATGAATTCAACCCGACCTATTCCTAACCCAACCCGAATTTAACCTGACCTATTACTAACCCAACCCGAATTTAACCCGACTTATTACTAGCCCGACCCGAATTCAACCCGATCTATCATTAACCCGACCTGAAATCAACCCGACTTGTTATTAACCCGAAATTAACTAGCAATCTAGGATTACGTCATATTTTTTTTTCTTTCCCTAATTCTATGAGTTATTTTCCTATTTAAACTTATTCAAATATTTTCAAAAAAATTCTCTATTATCAAATGTATTATAATTTACGTCTCAAAAAAACCTATGAAAATTTATGAATACCACTACTTTTTGGATGCATGTGCATTCTTTATTCAAATTTAGTAATTACTATTTACGAATACTACTACTTTGTAGGTGCATGTGCATTAATGTAGTCAACCCGAAATGATCCGACCCGAATTAATCTGATCCACACTTACCCGACATGTTTACCCGAATTGACAGCTCTACTTCCGACCCATGTTCGCGTTAGGCTCCTCTATATGAAATGGGTGTATAAATACAACTTAATATAGCGAAGGAAATTTGGAAATTCTTGTAATGAAAATTATATTTGTAAACGTTTATAATTTGGAGCTTATAATGAAATTTTAATTATTATCGTTTATTGTTTGTGCTATTTAATAACATGGACAATGTTGCTAGTTCAAACAAACGATAAAATCAAATCCGATACATCATAAATCAATAATAATAATAATAATAATAATAATAATAATAATAATAATAATAAATAATAATAATAATAATAATAATAAGGATATTTTGGATTTTAACACCTTACAAAAGGCTGAAAATGTTTTTTAACACCCCCCAAAAAAAAACTTTTATTTTAACACCTCCCAAAAATATAAAAGTTGGAAGTTAACACCAGTTAACGATTTCCGTCACGGAAATTTAACGTGGGTCCCACAAATTGGCTTGAACTTCAATTTTCACCCAGCAAAACACGAAACTTCTTTCTTCATTGAATTCGCAGCAACCTTCTGCATTGAATTCTTTCTGAACCTTCATTGATTTCGCTTTTGAACCAAAGGAGATCTTGGCTGAGAAGTGGAGTGTAGGGTGGTGTCAACGTTGGAGAAGATAAGCTCAGGAGGGTTTCTTCATCATCTTCTTCAACTACAAAAGTGCGAAAGCCGCTTGAAATTCACAGAAAATAAGGTAAAATTGCTCTCCTTTGATAGCAATTTCGTCAATTACTGGTGCTTCATTGCTGTAAACCTTGCAATAATTGGGTAATTAGGGTAAATTTTGGGACCACAGTAGGAAAGCCTTGATAAATCAATTTCTGTAACTGACTATGCGACTTAGGTTAATTGGATTTCGTAATTGAAAGTAGAGATTAATTAAGGTGGTTTATTGTTAATTAAACTAGCAAGTGTGGTTTGTTGATTAATTTATGTTACTGAGCACCTACATTGGCTTGTATATGTTTATTTTCAATTTTTTTATGTGTTTGTTTGTGTGGCTGTGATGGATTTGTTTATTCGTATTGTGCATGTATAGTTACATGGCTTTTAATATGTTTTATATGTTTTTCACTGGTGGGTAGATAATGGGTGACAAGGATAGTTTGGTTGACATCTGCCTTAGAGTGGGAGGTGCTTTTGTCCCTAAAAGAGTAACCAAAAACTTAGTGCCATATGTGAGGCATGTTCTGGGGAGGATAGACTTTGTGGCTAGGTCCTGTGTGGTGCAGCCATCCAGAGGGAATACATTTGAGGTGCAGCTGAAGGATGACCAGGTGTTGGTTGATTTGGACAAGGAGACCTGCACATGTTACCATTGGGAACTCACTGGCATTCCATGTGTTCATGCTTATGCCTGCATATTGGATATGAGGGGTGACATAGAGGCTGTTGTTGACCCATACTATACCATGGACACATACAGGTCTGCTTATGAACCAGCTGTCCAACCAATGCCTGGCCCAAAGCACTGGGAGAGAGTCAGAATGAGGGAACCACTACCCCCTTCTGTTAAGGTGCAACCTGGGAGACCAAAGAGCAAAAAAAGGAAGCTTGAGCCAGGAGAATGTTCTTCTTCAGGTGGTCAGGCAAGTACCAAGAGGAAGAAGCAATGCAGCAACTGTGGGGGATATAGGCATTATGCCAAGACTTGCAAAGTACCTGCTGCACCAGCTACAGAGCTGATAAAGTCAGCAGGCAGACCCCCACTGAACACTCCTTGGATGGTGGAGGAGAGGAAGAAGAAAGAGATTAGGGCTGCTAAAAAGGTAACACAAGCATTACACCAACTCCCCCTTTGTTTTATATATGTATGTGTCTTTTCCATTGACTTTTTATTTTTATATGCATGTCATAGAGTGCAATTGGGGCTGGACCAAACAGCATAGGAAACAAAAAGTTTCCTCAAGAGCAAGAAGGTTGTCTGCCATTCAGCAAGCGCCCACAGCCACAGTCTTCCTCAGCTAAGCATTCCTCAGCTCAGCCATCCTCTAGTCAGCCATCCTCAGCTCAGCCTTCCTCAAGTCAGCCTGCCTCAAGCCAACCAAAAAGAAAGACAAGGTCTTCCTCAAGTCAGCCTACAACAGCCACAGGTGTTGTAACAAGGGCCAGGCTGCAATCCCTCAACAACCTTACTCAGTGATGTACTCATGCTGGATATCAAACATTATGTCTGTTGAACAATTTCAAACTTTTATTATGTACTCATGACTGGTTATGTAACTTGCTAGTTTTTTAGTGGCTTCCCTTAACAAATTTGAACAATTAGATATTGAATTGTAATGGTTGCATGGCTTTGATTGCCATTGAAACATGTTGAAGTAAGGTTCTTTTGTCAACCTGTACTTGAACTATCTTAGTGTTTCACATATTTCCCATGTTTTAATGTTTCACATGTTTAAATAGGTTGATTAAAAGACAAGGCATAAATAGGAACTTAGACAAGGCATAAATAGGTTGATTAAAAGACATATTTATAACACTTCAAGTCATTACAAGAAATTATAACTACTTAATACAGCTTACTATTACACACCCCTAGCCATTAGGAAAATTACACCCATTGACAAACCTATACAAATGGCCATGCCCACCCAACCAAAACAGCTGATTGAAGACACCTTCCCTTCATTGCACTCCCTGTTCATTCTCTTCCTGTCAGCGTTCAAGGCCTTGCATCTCATCTTCAAATTATCAACTTCATTAAGTAGGCACCTCCTTTGGCCACTGATTTCATCAACTTCCCTTTTCAATTCATTAACTTCACCCTTTAGCAGCTTCTTATCCAACAACAGGTTGTTGATAACCCCTGTTTGCCAATCTGTTCCATCAGGTTGATCAACCCATTCGAAAGCTTTGCAACCCCTTGTTTCTGTTATTGGGTCATAAAACTTACATGATATGAACTTCCTGCCTGGATTCTCCCTTGTCCAGCTAGTGAGCTTGGCCATTGGCACACCACACTTACATTTTCTGGCCTCAGGAGGGGAAGAGCTAACAAACGACATAATCTGCATCAATTTTAGATCGACAGTCACATTTACAGATTTGTACACTGACGAATTAACATTGACAGCAACAAAATTCATTTTTAATTTCATAATACGAAAAGCCCCAAATTCAATTTCTGACGAACCCTAATTTCGCAATTGGGCATTTAGATGCGTACATAACATAATCCAACCATTAATCTGAGTACGAAACAATTGCAAATAATAATTGAAGAGAATTTAAACCATAATTACCAAACAACCGAACAATTGACCGCACTCACCTGTTTCAGCAGCTTCAATCTGTTCCTCTTCTCAAAAATCGTGGAAGAATCGTGAAAGAATTGTTTCAAGTATCGTGCAACAATGCAATGCGCTGCTGCTATTCAATAAGAACAACGATTTCGTTCATTGGGGGAGAATCGTGCAAGAATGGTTCTTATATATCGTGCAAGAATCGTGGAAGAATGGTTCTTATATACAGATCTTTTAAAAATATATCCGTTGGGGTGGGCCCCACTAACAGTTCTGTTAACGGAAGATGGATTTTGGTGTTAACTTCCAACTTTTATATTTTTGGGAGGTGTTAAAATAAAAGTTTTTTTTTGGGGGGTGTTAAAAAACATTTTCAGCCTTTTGTAAGGTGTTAAAATCCAAAATATCCTAATAATAATTTGATCTGAACTTATTTTTTCTGATCTGATCTGATCTGAACTTATTTTTTCTGATCTGATCTGATCTGGACTTATTTTTCCTGATCTGATCTGATCTAAACTTATTTTTCCTGATCTGATCTGATCTGAACTTATTTTTTCTGATCTGATCTGATCTGAACTTATTTTTTCTGAAATAAATAAAAATAAGGTGAACTAAACAGGGCCTAACTGTACCTAAGTACAAACTTATTAAATTGCTACTTAACTGCAACTACGTACTTACTAAAGTATTTGCTCAAATTAAAACTCGTACTCACTTAATGATGCTTACAACTTGCTACATACAAAATATAACTAGCACATTATTATTACATACTTGCTTACCAAGTAAAGTTTGATCTAGTGAAAATATTTAATTTGTATGAACATTGGGTCAAATATCACTAGGTGACTCCTTGCATTGAGTGTAACTTATTGCTTAACCTGTGGGAGTTTTGGCTCAATAGCCTTCTCCTTAAAAAAAAAAAAAAAAAAAAAAAAAAAAAAAAAAAAAAAGGAGAAAAGCTTACTACATTAGTATTTCGTACATTATTAAATAACTACTTTGTATACTTACTAGTACATTACGTACGTACTAAGCTGTCAAAATACCTAATAATCTACTAACTCATTAGTCATTTTCCTTTGAATTAGCTACATAACTTTGCTACCTTACTAAGCTAATAATTACTCGTACTTAATTTTATACTATAATATACCTCATAATTAAGCACCCTACATACTAACACTTACTAATTATAATGTGATCCTACCTTGGCTTCCATACTGTCCATAAATAGTCAAGATAGTTCGTCACAAGAAAACCTCAAACCTTTCAATTTTGAATAAACTTGTTATGTGCAACGTACAATAATTAATAGTATACTTTATTGTGTACTATTCCGTAATTTATTCCATTAATATTCTAAACCAAACAGATAAGTTTGCACGCACATGAAGATTATTGAAAATGGCATATACTCTAAAAGTATTTTTGTATATAAAAATAAACTTTTCGAGATTATAGGTAGAGCCACATAACCATGCAATCAATAAGAATTAAACTCTATTAAAATATTTTCCTAACAGCCTTCAAGTCTATCAAAAATAGCAAATTCAACTTAGGGAAATCAGATCACCCAACACCTGAAAAATTACTATATATTCGTACATTTTTTAAATTTGATGCGCACACACATTAAATTACATGCAGTACAGTTAAATCGACATCTACGATGTAAAATGTAAATAATTCATCACAATCGATAAGCATCCAACATCTTATTTTAAAAATTTTGAAGTACAAAAACAATCACACAAGAAACATATTCATGTAAAAAAAAAAAAAAACCACCCCATGCAAAACATTACATACGAGCAATCAATTAAGCAATCTCAATCTTCATACTCTTGATAACAACATTACCCTTACTTCCTGCCCTAAGCACCAAATTGACCGTGACACCTTCATCATCATCAGCTCCCAATTGTTCAATTAATTGAGTCAAACCAACCCTAAAAGTTGTCTCCAAGTCATGGTTTCCCTTATTATTACCATGCGTGTGCCTATGAGGTACATTCACAAAACTCCCGGCATATTCGGCCTTCACTTGCATCTTCTTAGACGGTACAACATCCTCGTCGTTGATGTACACATCGAACTTCACATACTCGTCGTGTTTCTTAACATCAACCTCTATCACAAGCACTTCCTCATCGCGATCTTTGTCTCTTTTACTCCTAGACTTTTTTGGCCTTGTAACGTTTGTACGTAATGACTTGTTTAATGGCTTAGGGAAATTGACGACTTTATTTGATTTTGATGTCGATTCCATGGCATGGGCTGTTTGAGGGGTTGATGAAGTTACACTTCTTACCCTAGATGTTGAGCTTGCAGTAGGTTGAGCGTTGATCCAAGGCAAGTCAACGTCTTGGTAATTATACCCAAGTTTCGTTGTGTCTACGCAATCTCTAACTCTTACCCTAATAGCTTGTGCATTTTCATCATAAAATATAAACGACGCGTTTAACCAATCTGAATCGGTATAATCACGTCTGTTCCCTCCTAAGGTTTTCCAAACGGACCACATACGGTCCATATTGGCATGGTGAGCGTAAAATAGGGGGTCACGTGCGGCTGAGTAGAAGTTACCCATGTTTTCAAAATTTTGCCTGTTACGGTCACCAGTCCAAACATGGACGGTCCCGTGAGGTATGTTCTCTACGGATCCACCCCCCGGATTGGGAAAACTCCCAGCCCGGTAAGGTGCACCTAGGAACAACCTTGCGGTCCTAGAGTTATTCACCATTTGGCGATACATGACTGTGAGATTATTTGCGATCATGGATTGATCCGGCAAATCATTGGAATCTATACCATCATAGTTGAGATCCAACACTTTTGGGGGTTGGTGACCCCGGTCTCGGATTGGATCATATAGGGGAGAATTTGGATCTGTGTACATCGTGGGCATTGTCATGCCCGCTTGTGTGTCCCAATTCCAAAAGGGTATAGCAAAAGTCGGGTCATCGATCAAATTGCCTAGTATTCTCTCATAAAAGTAGAGATACCACCTATGAAATGGATAAAATAGCCAAGAATTATGGACTTGAAGGTCCATATTTGGAAACCCTACTTGAGAGTAACCTCCATTACAATAAGCACAATGCACATTAGCTTGTTGGCTAAAACTACGTGGGTCAGTAGAAGGGAGAGCTTTCATTAAGGACATAGCCCTAGTAAATTTCTCCTTAAATTCGTCGTCTACCAAATGGGCCGGTTGTCGAACCCTTAAGGTGCTAGGAGGGGTTGGAAGAACAAAGTCCACTATGCTTGTGGTTCTTGGTGGGCAACAGTTTAGGCCTTGGGCGTTAGAGGGCAAATCTGCCGGGCCACAAGCATTCGGATTTGGTGTTTGCACGGGGGCAGCTAGAGTGGATGGCGCGCCACCTAGAGTGGTGGCGGCACCATACAAACCTCCTATCCCAATGAGCATATTTCTTCTATCAAACATATTGGCCTTCCCTTCATTATGGGTTGTTTTAGGGTTTTGGTCATCATTTTTAGCTACTTTGCATGAGATTTTCGGTGAAGGGCGGCGACCAAGGCTTCTTGAAATAGATAGTTGGGATGTTTTGGGGTATACATGGTGGTGGGAAAGCTCGGTAGCACCGGAGATGGTGGTAGTGGTGGTGGGAGGAGAATATAGAGAGGACATTGCTTGTAATGATAGTAAGATAAGAATATTAAACTTGAAAAGTTCGTTGATCTTTATAATACAATGGGGTGGTTTGTTAGTCAATATTTAAAATTAAGACAAGATATTAAAATCGGAATCTTTGTTAGAATATTAACATAAATTAAGAATTGAAGATCAAAACTAACTGACAGACCATGTGAAGCATTAACAAGAATATACAAAAAACTTGTACAAGATTTATGGGGAAAACAATTCTACACCTTGAGAAAATGCAAACAATAACTTCTACCCATGATAATTTTTCTATTGTACTGTGTTGCAGTCTTGCAGACGTAATATAGTACTGTATTAATTTGTGATAAGTTTTTAAAGTGTCACGCAAATTAAGTCAAATTAAGCTAAGGTACAAATGTCTAATGTTAAGATAAAGGAAATAAATA